CCAGTACAATGAACCTGGACACATGACTCTTCATGTGAAATATAACAGCTCAGGTGATGAAGGGTTGATGGTGTTAACTCTTCCTGGTTAATGGTGTTTTAACACTTGAAACGTTTTGAGGTTAATGGTGCCATTTATCTCAGCCTTAAGTGGTTGTTGTGACTCATGGTTCTCCCTCAGATGTGGAGTCCTATAAATAGGACATAGAGCTGCAGAGAAAGATACACAACATTTTCATGCAATCTGAATACTCTCAAAGCCTTATGCATCATATCATAGTGCTCAGTTCTCGTCTTCGAATCCGTTCACTGGAACTCTGAAGGCTGGTGTGCTACAGCTTCAGTGTGTATTGTCGTTGTATCTTTGGGGACATTACGCAAAGACCCGTCAGCACTATACGGGGCGTATTTGTCTTGCGGAAAGATTTCAATCGCCTCGGCTTTCAATCTGTCCGCATTTGAGTTGTAATTTTTTTATTTTGTTTTAGTTTTACTTGTACGAACTGAACACTTCAGTCCGTTCATAGGTTCCCGTTGTAATTCAAAACACACTTTGTGTAACAATCGCAAGACAAATATCTGACCTACTGAACTGATGGCATCCGCTGGAGAAGGATCAAAAACTCAACCACCTGTCACCCCCGCTGTTCATCATCCCCAACCTGCTGTTCATGTTCCCACTGCTGAGAAGCCCGAAAAATTCAACGGGCTAGATTTCAAGAGGTGGCAACAGAAGATGCACTTCTACCAGACCACATTGGGTTTGGTGAAGTACCTGAAAGACGACCCTCCTGTCGTGGCTGAAAATGAATCGAATGTTGAGCTGCGAGCTGCATACGATGCTTGGGGGCAAGGTGATTACCTTTGCTGGAACTATGTCCTCAACGGACTGAGTAACGAGTTGTACAATGTGTATAACTCGGTTGGCTCTGCCAAGGAGCTTTGGGCTGCCTTGGAGAAGAAATACAAAACTGAGGATGTCGGGGCGAAGAAATTCGTCGTTGGCAAATTTCTGGAGTTCAAGATGGTCGACACTAAGACCGTCGTGTCTCAAGTGCAAGCGTTCCAACTCATCTTGCACAACATTCATGCTGAAGGAATGTCTCTAAGCGAGTCATTCCAAGTTGCGGCTGTGATCGAGAAACTGCCGCCGGGTTGGAAAGA